CTGAACTGCCGCCCGATCTTTATCAGCGATGTGATTGGTTGGCAGTACCTCAAGTTTTGATTTTCAGAGCAATGATGACACCTGGATCTTTTTGAAGATTCGTGCCGCAAGTTGCAAGTTGCAACTGTTCTGCCCAGTGCCCACCTACAGTGGTAGGTACTACCTAGGTAATATCATCATCATACCAGGTAGGTGCTACCTAGTTCCTGCCTGGTAGGTTACTCGATAGCCTGGCCAGTGGCACCGATTGGGTCAAGCAACAAGTTACCCGCGTATACCAGGTTTATCGTTTTGTTGCTTCTCCCGAGCAACCTGCCGATTTTGAATAGGTATACCGTATACCTACATACCGGTAGTGGAAACTGTAGTCGGTCAGAGGTCTGCCACCGAGTGTGTTATAACATTATTACATTGTTTAACCGTACGCAACTTAAACTTTACATGGCCCCGGGGCCCGGGGCCCGTGTTCTGAGTCTGATCGGGGACATATATTTAGTTCTGCAGTCGCACCGGTAGGCACGGGTAGGCACGGGTAGGCACTGGGACCAGTGGTCACTGGAGCATACGGTATTACGGCGGTCATTGAGATTCGTATCCCGAAAATTTGGCACTACTCCTTCGGGATTTGAATCTAGATGATAATTGAACAGCGGTGTACGGCTCGTCTCGTTGTCGTGAGGCTTGCCTCTGAGCATCGGGGCTGCGCCTTCGCTAGGTCCTATGCAGCCGGGAGTCACCTACCGTACTCCCATTGTGAATTCGCCTAAAAATAATTATTTTCAGCCTCGGCGAAAATTTCCAGAAATTATTTGCTGCCCGGTGCGAAAGATTGACATGAATAAACCGGATTTTCTGGGCCCAAAACAGCTATTTTAGCAGGCAAAATTGCAATAACGAAAATAAAAATAAATTCACCTGGCCGGAGCGAAATGTTAAAAACTTTGAAAATAATTATTCGCGAGCTTGGGGGGCGAATAACAATGGCAGTACGGTACCTCGTATCGTAGCCTCGAGGTTATGGTGGCCCAGAAACTTGGCAGTACCTACGGCGTTTAGCCCGGGGGGCACTCTGCCGCCCGGGCCCAGCCGCCCAGGGCTTTCGAAGTTTCGACCTTGAAAGTCGACCGTACCGTACGGCATTGTTGGGAGCACTAACTACCGTAACGCTACCGTACTCAACCTCCAAATCGTAGGTTTTGAACTTCTGATCCGAGTTCGTGTACGAGGGTCCTGTACGTACCGTACCCGTAAAATTAACTTCTTAAAATCTGACTGCCCTGAGCTGTGAGTCGTTCAACTTCGTGCCCATCGGTACCTTACTCAAGTTTCAGTGCGCAGTGCATTCATTTTACGGTACTTGTGTGCACGGTATCCAGGTACAGGTACCTATATCATTTAGCAAATAATAGGTGTCATAATAGATCGGTTATCCCGCAAGTTGCTGACGCGTCACTGTCGCACTACTGTCTGACAAAACCTGAAACCGTGCAAGCATGGACATTGGAACTTGGAAGCCTGAAGGACTCCGAACGCGTGGAGTCGTGGACGGTGGACTCTGAAGTCTGGACCCCCGGTCCCCCACTGCCAATGTTTGACCCCCTACTACCTCTCATTGTTGGCTGGCAATCAGTGCGCGAGCTTCGGAGGGCTGCCGCGAGCATCATACCGCATCGTTCATGCAGGCCGGTACCTATTATTGCTGTTGACCGACCAAAACGGAATCCTCACCGAGGCGCAGACGTGAGGCTATGAGTAGGTACATCAAAGACAAGCGACCGGGTGACCAGGAGAGTATTAGCAGTCTTTACAGGCGCGCGCGCAACGTAGATATTATGTGCATACTGCACTGTAGGGGGTCCAATATGGTCCATCCACCGTACAATATACCTACCATGGTCCGACTCGGCCATTTTCTCCTCCCACGGGCCACGGGTGCTGACACCGGTACCTAGGTATCATTTTTCCCACTGCTACCGGTACACCATTGCGACTCTGGATACGACGGTACCTGCCACCTGCGCTACGCATAGGTATGTAGTAGGTATGTACCTACCGTATAGCGTATACGGTAGAATTGCGTGCCCACTTTACCGTAATAGGTAGGTAGGTACCTAGTCACTCTGCACGGGCAGCGGACAGAATGATTGGGAATTTTCGCGTGACACCTGAAGGATCGAAGTTTGCGCCCGTTATAACGGGCGTGTGACCGAACATTCGAGCTTCCCCGGGCACATATAAAACCGAAAACCTAACCGAAACGTAACGACAGCGCTCCGTGCTCCAGGCGACCCAATATTAACCACCTACCGTAGGAAGTACCGGTACCTAGTCCTACCCCAGTGCCCACCCATCGTCCGGGCAAAGGTGTCACGACTCACGAGCCCGTGGGCCGTGTCACGCCTCATACGAGAGTTGCCAGGGCAGTGGGCAGCTGATGGCGGCACCTTGATCACGCGTACCATGCATTTCATTTTCTTGTACGTGGAAAATCACAACGTACTCACAGGGATATATCCTGGCTGACATAACTGTGGGTTAACGCAGAACTGCCTACGCGTGCTATTTGCGAATGCAGGGTATCGTACTCGAGTTATGTTACTAACCGCATATAGCCGGCTTCCACCTTCTTTTCCGCCGCGATCCAGTGCTTTGAATGGGAATGAAATGACGAACTACCTAATTCGGAAACCAGCGCGTGAACGATGTGTTGGTGTGCCGAATCCTGGCCTGCATGTGCTGCCGATGCGAGCCCACTGGGCACGGAAACAGCGGAGGAGCCAGCTCATAGGGGGAGCCCACGGCAGAGTGCATACCGTAGTATCTGTCAGATATTGCTCTCAGAGTGGAGGTTTGATGAGGAGATGAGTTTGAGAGCCACAGGCTTCCATTGTCCTACCCGCCTTTCAAGACTCTAGCAGGTGTGTAGTAGGTGCTTGTGTCGGGGCAAGGGTTGGGTTGGAGCAGGCTCCAACAGTGGTGCTATCTTACAGGTGGATTGATGCTGCTTTGTGGCTTAGACATGCGGCAGTCTGTGTCCCTGGCCTAACCACAGCGGATGCTTTCTGCTAACGTGTTGCTATTGCACCGCGGCCTACGGTTCAGGTGTTGACCGCCTGCATCCAAGGAGCTGGGGTGGGGGCTTTGGGGCCCAGCTGGCTGTACAATGCAGGAATTAGATCCGAAGGTTGATAAGGAACATCCCAAGGAACAATTGGAACAGAGATCTGTGTCAATCACAGTGGGTTTATTTGGATTTTCTCGAAGCTGTAGCAGATTGTAGCAGAGCTACAGCACGGAACATATCAAGACCAGTGAAGTTGCACATGACGCAGCAGTGCGCCACGCGCTAGCTTAGGGGCATTAGTGGCACACTTCGTGCAGGCGAAGGGAGCAGGACGCTGCGTGTGGCCACTCGTGTGCAGTGCAGTTGCTGGCTCAGGGAGCCTCATAGCGCAAAGTTCCAATGCGGCCATGAGAAAGACCATGTACTGAGGGTGAGTGCTGCGCAGTGGACAAGTGGACCCTCTCGCGTGTGCCCGGGGGCTCCTTGCAGCCGTGCACCAGGCTGGGGGGCAGTAACACCCCTCCGGAGGGCAGACTTGCAGCCTTGGCTGCACGCGGAAATGGGATCACGTGGAGATGTGTGTGGTCTTGCATCCCCCGTCTCCCCCTGTTGCTGACACCCGCGTCCATTGCCCGCTGCAGGAGTGTCCCCTGAGTCCCACCATGACCCCTCCCCCGCCTCCCGTGTCCCCGCTGCCTGTCCCGCCTGTGCTGTCACCTGCGCCCCCCTGCTGCCCCTCGTCCAACCCCGCCGCCAGCGCGTGCACCAGCACTGGCGCGCACTCCAGCTTGCCCGAGTGGCCCACCAATGTGCCCCCGCTGCCCCCCCTCCCACGCGGCTGGCCCCGGGGCCCTCCCCGAGAGGCCACCTCGTGCTCGCCCGAGTCCCGCGAGTTCCGCGAGGGGGACAAGGGCCCCTGGCAGGACCTGAGCCAGCACGCGGCGGCAGGGCCGCTGCCGCCGTGGCCCGCCCCGGAGCTGGGGCTGCCGCTGTGGGGGGGGGCAGCATACCAGCCTCAGGTGAAGGGGCAGTGGAGCCAGGTGAGGCGGCGGGCACGCACGCATGCCAGCTGGCAGCTACTGGAGCATGGAGTGGGCTGTGGACAGGCCGCTGAGTTGAGTAGCTGCCGTGCCATTGTCCCTGCTGTGGTCTGGCCTGCACAGCTGCAGTTGCGGCGTGCGTGTGCTGACGCGGTGCGCTGTGCGGGGGTGCGGTGCAGGAGGAGGACGCGCTGCTGCTGCGGCTGGTGGCGCAGGGCGGTGCCAAGAACTGGAAGGCCAAGGCGCAGCACCTGACCGGCCGCGTGGCCAAGCAGTGCCGCGAGCGCTGGCACAACCACCTCGCCCCCGACGTCAACAAGGTCAGCGCACACCCGCTGACAAGCCTCACTGTGTGCTTGGAAGGCCAGTCCCGGCTCGGTCTCCCTGCTGCCCAGCCTGTTGTCACAATTGCGAGATGCTTTTTTGCTGCTTCATGCATGCCCTCTGGTAAAGTTTGAATCGTGTTGTGGGCTTGTTCCCTCCCATGCACTCTGCCCTGACAGACAATGCCTGATTCGAGTTGCGGCAATGCGATGCTGCATGCGCTTGTCGTTACAGCCCACTAGGAAAAACTCCTTAATCCAATCCTGCCGCGCTGACCTCCCCTGCTTTGTTCCATCTATGGACTAGTGTGTCTCATCCCTCGACCTTTGCACTCTGCCAGGACCCCTGGTCTGCCGAAGAGGAGGCGCAGCTGGCCGCCGCCTACTCCCAGCACGGCCCCAAGTGGTGAGTGCCCCCCCATCCCTCCATGCATGTCCTACGGGACGCCTTACCTGCTTGCCAGCCGCACAACCTGCCTGCTCAGTGTCAGGGGGCCCCTCGGCTGCCCCGCTGTGCCTTCCTGCGCTGAGTGTGGCGGTGGGTGTGGGTGTGTGCAGGTCGCAAATTGCCAAGGTGCTGCCAGGGCGGACGGACAATGCCATCAAGAACCACTGGAATGCCATCGGCAAGCGCAAGGTACGCAGCTGTGCACTCAGTGAGGGCAAGGCGGCATGGCTGGTGGGATAGCCGAAGAGGGATACTGGCCCGCTCTTCTG